AAAAAAAAAAAAAAAAAAAATTCTGATTTACATATGTCATGAAATTTCCATTCTGTTTTCAAATTATTAATTGCAAAAATCACCATGTTTGCATTTTTTGCAACTCATTTATATTTTTAAAGAGTCAGAAATATTTTAACTCTTTTAAGCTTAAAGAATGAAAACTAGGCTTGGCACCTATGGCTCTAGTGGCTAAGGTGCCAGCCACATACACCTACGGTGGCGGGTTCGAATCCAGGGCCTGCCAAACAACAATGATGGCTGCGACCAAAAAATAGCCAGGCATCGTGGCAGGCCCCTGTGGTCCCAGCTATTTGGGAGGCAGAGGCAGGAGACTCACTTGAGCCCAGGAGTTGGAGGTTGCTGTGAGCTGTGATGCCATAGCACTCTACCCAAGGTAACAGCTTGAGGCTCTGTCTCAAAAAAAAGAATGAAAACAAAATTCTATTAGTACTCCTGGTTATTGAAAAGCAATGATCAGAAGAGAGGAAATGGTATTCTATCCACTAATATCCTGCTCTCTCTCTTCTTAAGTCATAAAATAATTGGATTATCTCTTACAAGATATATCTCAGAACAGTTTTTAGTTAATGTTATTGAAAGAATGAAATTATAATCTTTGTGAATGGCACTTAGAAGTAGACACTTACTTTCCTGGGTTTCACCAACCTACTCTTCCATTCTATAGAAAGAGTTCCTGGATTCTGGATTATGTTCATTATATTCCTGGGATTTCAGTAGCAAACTCCCTTGGCACCTTTATAATCTCAAAATCTTGCTTCATGGGCATCAGTACAGCTTCAGGTCCTACAAGAAGAGGTTTTTTTTCCTTGGGTCTGTTTCTGATGTGTTATAGGAAATAATCAGTATTTCCTTAAAAAATGATTACTGATTATAAGAGTAATCACTGTTTCCTAAAACAAAGTACGTCATGTGCGGGAACAGACCATTTGATTGGACAGTCACTTCTCTGGTATTGGAAATGGTATGCGTTACTGTGTTCAGATGCATTTTACTTACCCAGGCCTTTTCTTTTTTCTTCTGTTTCCTTTTCCTCATTCCAGGCCTCGTTTAGGAACAGTCATGCACCGGGTGATTGGACTGGGCCTTCTTTACTTTATCTTCGCAGCTGTTGAAGGCGTGATGAGAGTCATTGGGGTAAACACCACATAATTCCACTCCCACCCCTTTTTGTTGTTGCTATGCAATGTGATTTTACTTTGTATCTCTTGGGATGAATTTTTAAAGATAGAAATTTATGAAAAGGGGCAGTTTGAGGTTTTTTTTTTCCTTTGGGATATTTCCTTTTTAATATTTCTGGAGGGGAAACACTAAACAGAGTACTTCTTAAAATGATAAGATTGATTATGAAGGTTCCACTGAAGTCGTGCCAAGAATTAGCTCCATCCAAGAAAAGTTCATGGTTCCTCTTTATAAAGAACATTTGTCTTTGTCTTTATGCAGTCAGTACACATTAATATCATTACTGCCTGGATTTTAGTTAATTATACCCTTTAGGTACACAAACATTATATTTCATCACTCTTTTAAGTCTCATTTGGTTGTCAGTTTTCTCTGACTCTCGCGGACTTGCAGTTTGGGGGATTCAGCAGATTCTACTGTTGGGAGAACCGGAAGGAAGTGATATTGAAGGGGAAGAGGACTCTGGCCGTGTGGGTTAAGAGTCCTCTTTAGAGCCCTCTGTGTAGAGTCCAGCACTGGACTCTATAGAGAAGTGTCAGTAGCTTCGTCTGCAAAGAACTCTAGATTCCTAGCTTCAGTTTTTCTTAATAAATGGTAGAGGACTGAGTGATTAAGAAGCTTATTTTCTTTTATTGAATTCAAAAAGAACTTATCATTTTACTCAAAATGCCTTTTGGATTAGATGTACAAATCAGACAGCTGTATACAGATTGATTAATCTACCTGTAAGTTTACTTCACACATTTTGATCTAATCCTTTCAAATAGGACATTTGTTCAATAATATTAAAGAGCCTTTTTCTTCCTTCTGTTGTCTTTGATATATCTATATTCTGTTCAACATTAAAAGATTAAAAGAGTAGGTGCATCTGGTTCAGTTTAGATATACCTGTTCTTTTATTTTTATTTTATTTTATTTTATGTTTTTTTTGAGATAAAATCTCAGGATGTCACCCTGGGTAGAGTACCATGGTGTCATAGCTCATAGTAACCTTTAATTTGGGCTCAAGTGATCCTCTTGCCTCAGTTTTTCTATTTTTGGTAGAGATGGGGTGTTGCGTTTGCTCAGGCTGGTCTTGAACTTGTGAACTGGAGCAATCCACCTACCTCGGCCTCCCAGAGTGCTAGGATTTATAGGCATGAGCCACTGTGCCTGGCTGCACTTGCTCTTTTAATCTTCGTTTATATTTATTTTTACCTTTACATAATCATGCAAAGTTCTGCATTTGTATGTATAATTTTCAGGAAATTAATCCTTGCTAGAAAGAAATAGAAAGATAAATATACACATATAAATACAGTATATATTGTATTTCTTTAAAATTTTACATAGTCAATACCTTAGTGACTTTTAAATACCATATTCAGAATACATATCTAATCTATAGTTTGTTTAGATTAGATATGGAACACATGGTTCCTCTGCCTTATTTTGCCTTTTTTTGTGTGTGTGTATGTTCTTTCATAATACAATCAGGAAAGATCAGGAGTTTATTCTATTAATAGTCCTGGCTATAGGTTTGGTATGGAGAAGAGAGAGATTGAAATGGTTGATCTTAGTGAGGTTGGGGACATGATGCTTTTAGTTTGCCATTACACATTCTGGTTTTATGTTAACTAACTTCAGATAAGCTGGTGACAAATTAACATTTGTTGCTGCCAAAACAGATAATTTCTATATGCTTAAATAATTCTCTTAGGAAATAAAATATTTTATGTGGCTTTGTGAAGTAATGAAATAAACTAAATTATTTTTCTTCATCAGATGATAATTGCTATTATGTAATGAAACTTTTACATGCAGGTTTCTCCCCCTGTTTTTATCTTTCAGGGTCCTAACCATTTAGCTGTTGTTTGGGGTGACATTATTTTAGCAGTTATTGACTCCATTTTTGTATGGTTCATATCCTTTACTATGTCCTTCTGTAATAGTTTATTATCCCATTAAAATTAGATTTCTTTTAATTTGTAATAAGAATAAAGAAGTATAGTTATGCATTTTCATTACCTCAGCTTAGGAGTTTAGTAGAAGGTGAAAAGTAACAACTCTGTAAACAAAGAATATCTTTATTTTTTCTATTGAATTTAGCAAACATTAAGTGTTCAGTTAACACCTCATACTGACAGAGCATGACTGAAAAAGGTATGGTGCCTGCAGTTGAGAAAGTCCCCGTCTGGTGGAGGAGGCATATGTATCATAAGCAGCAATATAGCAATAGTAATTGCTCAGTAGAGAGTATTATGTGAACAAGGGGAAGGGAGAGTTAATGCTGGGATAAAAGTCAGGAAGGACTGCCTGCATAAGACAGTGGTTCTCAACCTTCCTAATGCCGTGGCCCTTTAATACAGCTCCTGTGGGTCACAACCCACAGGTTGAGAACCACTGGCATAAGAGATGGCTGCATTTAAATTGAGAGGGGACTAATAAGAGTTTAATGAGAAGAGAATCGGGGGAAAGGCCGCCTCCCAAGTAACTGGGACTACAAAAACATCTCACCATGCCCAGAGAATTTTTTTAGAGGTGGGATCTCACTATGTTGCCCTGGCTGGTCTTGCTCAAGCTCCTGGCCTTAAGTGATACTCCTGCCTCAACCTCCCAAAGTATTAGGATCATAGGTGTGAACCACCACACCTGGATACCTGGCCTACACAAGAGTTTTGCACATAGTGGGAGCAGTTAAAGACCTCCTAAATTATATGCATGGATTCCCTAGGTGTCTGAAAATCCTAATTAAGAAATAATAGCTGATTTAAAGAGTAGTTTCTGAATGAACATGTTTAAAAAGGGCGTCTACTTTGTTCAGAGCTACTAGTTTAGAATACAAGTTTATTGAATAAAATAACAGTTAAATCTGACCTTCTCAGTGAAGTGTAATTTTTCATTTTTTCTATGTTGAAAAACTTTTTAAAGATACTTGGTAGGCTTGGTGCCTATAGCTCAAGCTGCGTACACCAGAGCTGGCGGGTTCGAATCCAGCCCGGGCCTGCCAAACAACAATGACAGCTACAACCAAAAACTGGCCAAGCAGGTACCTGTAGTCATAGCTACTTGGGAGTTTGAGACAAGAGAATCACTTGATCCCGGGAGTTGGAGGTTGCTGTGAGCTGTGATGCTATAGCACTCTACCCAGGGCCACAGCTTGAGGCTCTGTCTAAAAAAATAAATAAATAAATAAATAAATAAAGACATTTGGTTGCTATAAATGAGAAGAATATTCTCAGTTCTGCACATGAACATTTTTCCACCTGTAAGCGCGCTGACCCACAGGGCCATAGGTCCTGCTCTGCTGCAGCTGCAGTGGGTCACTTGTCCTCACTTATCTTGAGGAGAATGGGCAGAAGCGTAAACCTGCCTAGAATTGGGATAGGCAGAATTGCAGTGTAGGATGAACCCAGCTGTAGGCCTCAGCATTGCTCTCTTTGGAGCTAAGTGTCTTGTCTTCTGTCATTGTGTGTTTAGAAAAGGAGCTTAAGATACCTGTTCAGTTTGGAATTGTCTTGTTTCTAAAATTATATATGCTTGGAGCTTTAACAAGTCAGGAAGTATGTCTGTTCAATTAATTGAGCTGTAGACTTTGCATTTTAAAAAATTTGTACTATCTTTTCTCCTGGTGATTTACGTATGTGTTTCAGAGATTTCTTGTTCTTAACCACTCACACAGAAGTTCATTGGGAAAAATACTTAGCAATGTAGGTTGGCAGAAAACACTGAAGAAAAGCCACTCTAAAGTTTCCAATCCATCTAGATTTGAATGAGGGTAATTTATCACCTTTACGGACAGCATTGACTTTGGTACATTCCAACACAGAATGAGCCATATTGGGGTAGAAAAATAAGGAAGACAAGATAAAAGATTTGGTTTGCTTAATTATTAATATTTATAATAAAAATGTTTGAGGAAATAAACCCAGAAATTAAAAGGATTTTGGGCTTGGTGCCTGTAGCTCAAAGAGCTAAGGCGCCAGTCATATGTAACAGAGCTGGCAGGTTCAAATCCAGCCCGGGCCTGCCAAACAACAGTGACAACCACAACCAAAAAATAGCTGGGTGTTGTGGCGGGTGCCTGTAGTCCCAGCTACTTGGGAGGCTGAGGCAAGAGAATTGCTTAAGCCCAGGAGTTGGAGGTTGCTGTGAGCTGTGATGCCATGGCACTCTACCCAGGATGACAGCTTGAGGCTCTGTCTCAAAATGAATAAATAATTAAAAGAAAAGGATTTTGGTTAGTGTTTCATGATGAAAGAAAGGAAATAAAGTACTTATTTCTGCTTGAGCCTGAATTTATGAAGTTTGCTTTCAGATTGCTGCTTGATAACTTCCATTACTGAAATGAAAAGTCTGCTTTCTATTTGAAAAGCGAATTTCCTAAGTGATTACAAAGGACAGGCAGGAGCAGAACTACGCGCATTTACGATTGAGTACTTACTTCTGACGGTGACTCTGCTTCCTTTGATTTTGGTGAACTTAATGTAACTAATCCTGTAAGATTCTAATTCTAAAGCAATAAAACAAAAAAAATAACCTGACAAATTCCAAAGCCACAGCTTATCTCGTGGAGCCTCTCCTTCCCTTTTCTCTGCTTGCTTGTTTTATTTTATTTTTTTGCTGTTTTGCTGCAGGCGAATGATTCTGACCTTGTTCTTCTGGCCAGCCTCCCCCTCTCTCTCCTTGACTGTGGCTTGTGCTGGTGGATATCCTTTTCCTACTGCAGCAGCTTGCTCGGGTTGATTCTCACAGGGATGAGGAGGCCTGTTTGCTTTCCTTACTGCTTTCCTTTCATGGGAGGAATGATTTTAACCTTACCTAAAGTTAATAGTGTCTTGGTAAGTGGAGGCCTAGGCAGTTTGGAATTAACCTTTGATCTTTTTATTCCTTGGCTAATAATTTTTGAATTATTAAACAATACCATGTTTTTTAATCTAGAAAACTGGTTTTAGTCAAGAGTTTGAAAAAGCGTGTGTCTTGATAAGTTTAAGGCATAAAGTATATTTGGATTTATAAAAAATTCTGTTAGTAGCCTTAATTGGTGAGGTTGTATTGCCTTTAAAAATTGATCTTCTTTTGTAACTCATTTAGAAAGATCAAAAAGCAGTTTTGGTAAAGTAACTATAGCAGTTTTTGATAAATGATGTATTTATAATTTAAAAAACTTGCCACTTCCATCCTTTTGTTCAACTCTGTTATTTTCAGTGTTTGATTCATAAGCAGAGCTGGTTAGTCTCTCCTGAGGAAGGAATTCTCATTTAAGAGCAGACAATCTGGCTTGAATTCTAGCTTTTGCTTCTTCATACTTGACAGTATTTAAGAGTCTGTGCTTCTGGAAAACAATCAGTTTAAGAAAACCCCCAACTATTTATAGGGAAAGACTTATGCAAAGATCTCCCCCTTCCCATAGGACTTAGGTGAGACCGGATGCCCACTTGTTCACCTATAATAAGACCAGGCAGAGACCCCTTCTTTGCTTCAGATTAGCTGAATTTTTGATATTCCTTGATCAATCTGGACAGAATACTGGCTAGACCAAATTTAAGTGTTCTCCTTGCCTTAGGCTCTAAACTTGGGCCCACTATCAGCCTAAGCCAATGCAGAGCCTTCCTTCAGTGCCCCTCCTGAGAATCTGCCTGATGAATGTGTCTGGTCAGCCATCCTCTCTCCACACCTGCTTCTTCCTAGCCTTGCCTACTCCTCTCTATAAAGGAAAAGGCCCCTTTTGCCTGACCTTTGAGACTCGCAGCTCTCAGAGTGGTAGTACTCTCTCTAGTGCTGTAACCCTCCCCTACCATAGTAGTCTTTCAAAAAAAGTCTCTCTAAGTCCAGATTTATTTTGACATATTTCAGTTTTTCAACTGACAAAATAGAATTGATAGGTGACCTAACTTTTAAATTATGATCAGAGAATAAAACAATAGGCTAAAAAGAGTAAAATAAGAAACACCCAGAGAAAACAAACTAAATGTCATGTCATGATGTGATCCGTCAAGAGAGTCTGCCCTGAGAGGGCTTGGACTATGTGTGTAGACTGCTCTATGCTGTGTGGCAGAAGTGTGGCACTGGAGGAACACGTTTTTGTTTATGTTTTTTCCTTGAAACTTGTTTATCTAGTTCAGACAGTGATAACTTATAAGACAAAAATCTATGATAAGGTCAGTATCATGATTGTACAATATTA